TTCACATTTTACTTGTGAGCAACGGCACATTTAAATCTTACAAATATAGTTATTTGGCTTATATCGTGATAGATATCGTTATCGCCTGAAATGAAAAAAACATATCGTGATATGAAAAAATCTCATATCGCCCAGCTCTAGAGGATATTTGTCTGGAGCCTTTAACCTGACTGTCACAGATTTGCATGACAAAATTTCAGGTGGAGATGCACTTCAAAACTTGTGCCTTCTGTATAGTTTTAGCGTCCCCTACCCCTAAAATTATGGTTTCTGCAGGCCTCCGAAACTGTGCTCAGATATCGAACATCCAGATATTTTAAGAACTTCCATCATTCTGCATTTGCTTGAGCTACACACTCAAGCAAATGCAGTGTGTGTAGCTCACTGCATTTGATAAGAAGTGTTTTTTAATCTTTTCATGTAATGAATTAAAATCAGTGTAGGAATTCCACAAACACAACTCTTTGTTGACTCACTGAGTCATCCAGAGTGTAGCTCAACATGTGTATTCATGCCCCATCAGGCACTCTGTGATAACAGAATTTTACCAAACTGACAAGTACACTAAAAATAAAGGACAACTCTGGAAGATGTTTTATTTTTATTTTAGTTGGCTTTAGTTTTTTTCCAAGTCTAGTTTTCATTGTCATTTCAGTTAACTATTTGTTCCCTACAGCTCAATTTACATATTTGTTTAAATATGTGATAGAAACCTAATAACCTTTGTATGTACATTTGGTAAAAGAACATCCATCCATTGATCCATTGCAGAGAACTGAGCAATGTTGGGGGAATCGGGTCAGAACATACTCCTTTCAGTTTAGGTGAGGAATCAGCTCGGGCGGACGACCGCTTGCTTGCTCTGAACTCTGTGACCGATTATGTATGTTTTTCTCGCATGGATGCAATTGGACATCACGCAGACTTTGTTCCATGGGGCTGGCAGGTTAAAGAGTTTCTGCTCTGGCTGTTTGCCTTCTCACGTGCATCTCTGTTGGGTGATGTCTAAAAAGTTCAGGGCTGCCTTAGTTTGTTTAGATAAACAGGCGGTGGTGCCTGTTATCTGGCTGTGTTTACCCTCATATCTTTGCAGAGGAGGACAAAAGAAGGTAATGTTGAGAGAGACTCAGACAGTGAGAAATAGTGTTGTATTTATCTATGTTAAATTAATACACAACCTCAGGAGTTGTACAACATGTAAATATTTTTGCTAGTATTTGATTCTATTTTTAATTTATTTTTTGTGGACTTAAATGTGTGGCACATTTAAGTCCACAAAAAATAAATGGGTTCCTTGTTTTGATTCTGCTAATGTTTTATTGTTTAATCTGTATACTGAAGCTTCATATAGTTTCACTTGAATTCTTTTGTTTGTGTTTATAGTAATGCATTATTGTACTGATTACATTGTCAGACTTTGACATTGTCGTGTTTAATAATCCAGCATTAAGAATTTTGCATGCACCAATCAGCTGATCATAATTATTAGTAGAGGTGGAAGTGTTGTTGTCTTCAGGTAAGTGTTTTCATCTGGTTTGTTGCTGTTAAATTTTGATGTGTCTGTGCAGCCCCTGTATGACCCCAACTACAAAGTGGTGGTGCATGCAGTGAAGCTGAAGCGGCAGGTGGAGATGTATCAGTGGGTGGAGTACCATGAGAGCAGGTAAGGCTTGTCAGCACTCAGGGTGGGACTGGGTGTGGACATGTTGGCTAGAATGCAGCTGACTGTACGTTTTAATTCAGGGATTACCAGGAGAACGGTGAAACCAAAACAGAAACTACATACACCTACAGTGAGTTTCTTTTTTGCAGTCTGTAATCTTTGGTAACAGCACAGCCTGTGCATAGAGGTTATATTTTATAACTCCTTTTTTGTAGACACTGAGTGGAAGGCAGAGTTGGTGAACAGTCGTAATTTTGATAAGGAGATTGGTCACCAGAACCCGAGGTACTAAAATATATTTAATATGGTCTTCTTGTGTTTATGTGGGCATCCAGTCCATGCTCACTTCAGTCTTTGTGTTTCAGTGCCATGGCTGTTGAGAGTGTGATGGTGGTGTCTCCTGAAGTCCGAACTGGGCCATTCATTCTGTCTAAAGGTTTGTGTCTAAGCAAACACACAGCCACTACACATATGCTGTGTTTCATGTGTTTGGATTTTAGTACTCAGTTAATTTCCTGGTTATCATCAGGCCTGGTGGAGCAGATAAATAACTTCCAGACACTGAGTTTGGGGGATTTTCCTGTCTTTAACTTGGACCCTTTTCTCTCTATTCATGATGACTACTTCTATCACACTCCAAATCCACGCAGGCCAGAGGTGAGCATCTAGTCGTGAGTGCCTCACAAATAATCTCAGTGTTGCACTCTGTTATATGTTATGCGTTCCACACTTGTTGACTTTGAATTTGTTTGAATTCATGAGGTGGGTGACGTGCGGGTGAGGTTCTCCTTCGCTGGACTGAGCAGTGACAACTCACGCCACGGCCCTGCTCAGACGGTACAAGCTACAAATGTCTGATTAACACATTCTCTGCCTACATTTGCACTGGGTCTTGACTGTAGTCTGTTTATAGGAGACTGATGTACCTTCAGGATCTGAAAAGTGAATTCAGTGCCTTAAACCTGCATTCTTTCTGATGGCCACCAGGGGGAGACTCCTGGTTAAAAACAAAGTCTGATTGTGTAGAAGTTTATGGAAAAGTGACCCTACTTTTCATTTCACTGTTACCCAGTAAACATTTTCCTAATAAGTTTATGGTCTCAGTTGCTAGCATCAAATCTTCAGTAGAACATAATAGTCATGAGCATGCAATATTCTCAGTAAACTCTAACCCTTATTCCTGAGGTTGACTTCACTACAGCTATGTCCATCTTTTATGTACTGTCTTTGGTCACAACCTACATGATGTTCTTATGTTGCTATTTATAACATTCAATAATAAAATATTTTATCATTAACTTTCATAAAAATCAATTTAAGTAGTGTTTTAAATGATTATTAACACAAATAGAATTTGGATAGTCAAATATGATCAAGTATTTCAAACATTTACTGTTTATGAGTAGTTATTAGAATATTTTGGTGGAGGTATGGAAACTTAATATTGTTTTTAAGTTTTATCCATAACAGAATGACATGGGATATTTTCTTGATTGTTTTGATCTAAAAATGTACCTGTGTACTACTATAAAACTGCACATGAAATAAAAAATTGTATACTGTAAACATATAGAATGTACTATACTGTTAAATGAGTAAATTTACACGGCACCAAATAATCATGGTAAAACTTTTTCACAGCTGTTTTTTTTTGAAAGTTTAGTAGATCAACATGAGGACAGTTCTGGTCTCCTTTGGCATGCTGCTTACATTTATGGGATTATTAAAAAAAAGTTGTTTTGTTGAGGAAAAAGATGTATGTTCTTCAGCCAAATGTGCCGTTTGTTAAATTCCAACCAAAAGCCCCAAACAAACAAATGTTCAGTTTACCATGAAATATGAGCAGGAACAAATATTGTCAAAAGAGTTGCTCATTTATGTATTTATATTAGATTAAAACTAAGTCTCTAACTCTGCTTCACATGCGGTTTTTCAGGTCAGTATGGTTGCCATGCAGAGAGGGGAGCAGCTGCTGCCATTTAAAACCAGATCAGGAGACACTCTGGAGATCCTTTATCTGGAGGAGCTCTCTGCGGAGGTCAGCGTGGGCTTCATTTCCATTTGTTGGTTTAAATTCTCTTTCTGTGTGTCTATCTGGGTAAAGCGTATTTCTGTGTTATCTGTAGGAGGTGTTTGCGAAGGAGCACCAGTTTAACAGCATGAAGACTTGGGGACTCCGGGCTGCAGGCTGGGCCCTCATGTTCCTTGGTATCCAGCTGAGCATGCAAATCATCTACACGCTGGGTAAATTAACTCTGCTGCTGTACAGTTGTGAGTTTCCTTCCTTGCTTCTATTATTCATACTTCCTGTCTGTTGTGTTCCTGCAGTGGACTGGGTTCCTGTCCTTAGAGAGCTCGTCTCCATTGGACTGAAGATCTTCGCCTTGTGCGTCTCCTGCTCGTTGTCTCTTATCGTTATTGGGTTCGGCTGGCTTTATTACCGACCGTTGGTGGCAGTAGCTCTAGGAGCGCTGGCTGTTCTTCCGATATTTCTCGCCCGCTCAGGACTTCCCGCCAAGAAGAACGCATGACTATTGAACTGATGATTATAGATTTTCTGATGGTGAGCTGCAGATGTTTTGTGTTGCCAGTTTTTTTCCCCCAGTTTGTTACAGCCTGCACAAAGGGTTGTTGTTGATTTAAACAAACATTGAGTGTATGGGTTTGTTTTTTGGTTAAATAAATTTAATCCAGCATGCATCAGTTTCACTGGCAATATATAGATTTTTACTTCACCAAAGTTGTTCCTTCCATTATATGTTTGGTTTTTTTTTTTTAGCTTGAATGTTTTTCACCCAGTTAAAAATAAATGCAGTCGAATCCAACAGTCCTGGACAAAACTAAGTGCTCAACACTCTCCAGAACTTTGCATTATTAAGGTTGGATTTAATACACTGATAAGTGAAACTGCAGTAGTTTTAGCTATGTGCATCCAATGAATTGTTTAACTGTATATTTGTTACATACCTCTGTTTTCACTGTTTATAAAGCTCAGTAGGTTTAATAATAATTATTTGTAATCAAAAATTCAGTTCTTACATGTAAAACTGAAAAGACACCAAAGAAGTGGGGTTCTCAATTGTGTTTGCTTTAAATGTTGAGTAAAAGTTTGAAACTACTTTTGGCTCATGTTTTCATTCAGGAAAAAGATCACCTTCAACTATAGATGATTACTGATGTTCTTAGAACAAAAAGTGAAGGTAGAGGCAGTTTGACCCCCAGAAAGTCTGGGCAGGTTTATTTTTCACATTCACTGTCCTGATCAGTAAACATCTCGGCTGTCAGTTTTTTAACAACTATTAATGGGATTCATTGACATGCTTGTGTGCACTCAGGCTCAGCTCACAGGGGAACGGCCAAAGAGTGGCCCGTATTAATCCAAAATGTTCACCATAAACTGAGGAGCCTAAAGCATAGACTAGCCTTTGATTTTCCTCACCACTGCATAAAGTTGAATTCTGTTCCTAGGCAGGGCTTTAATTCATTAGTTCAGTTTAATTCAGTGTTCAATCAAGTGATGCAAGTTATCCAGATTCTTACAAAGTAATTTATTACACAAAACACTAAGTTTCCATTTGCATTTTAGCAAAAAGATTTTCCAGTCTCGCATTGTGCATGTGATCATAATGCAGATTTGTTTATGAAGAACACAAACAAATTTTGACTTTGTGTGCACGAGTTTGTCAATAATTAAAGGACTACGGGTCACAGTGAGCAGGTACTTCAACCCTAGTTGGCTGTGGAAACATTCCTCTGATCAGCTCGCAGGGCTTAAGCACTTAACTGCAGTTGGCAGGCTGACACCACGGTTCCCCCGCTGACCTTTTTGATTACATAGAACGTGTGGATAAAGGAGGTTTGATTATTATGGCAAATTTACTTATGTTTAAGTACAAAAAAAGTATTTTCCATAACTTCAAAGTTGAATACTGACAGAACCTGACTAGTTTTGCTTAAGACCAAAAAGAAATAAAGAAATAAAAGAAAAGTAAAAGCATTACATCTTTAGTAAAAACTGGGGAGAACAGTCTTTTGGGTGGGTTGTGTTGGGGGTAGGTTTGACCTAATTCTCCTTCTTTCCCCCTCCAGGAAGCAGTCCTCATGCCTCCTTTTACAGTAGGACGCATTTATTACTCTTCTTTCCCCGCCTGGCCTGTAGTGCAGCCCTGGTAGCCATCTCGAATACCTCCCTCACACCATCCTTTGTTTTTGCAGAGCACTCCATGTATCCAAAGGCACCAATCCTGTTAGCCATGTCCCGCCCATCCTCAGGTTTAACGGGTTCCTAAAATAAATATAAAGGTCAAGAAGCAATGTTAGGAAAAAATCTTTCACTGACAAAGTTTGTTTGTTTTCTTGCTCAGGGCGTTAAGTTTTACCTGCTTCATTTTGGCAAGTTCCCTCCGAGTGTGCTCATCATTACGCAGATCCTTTTTGTTTCCCACTAGTATAATGGGAACATTAGGGCAGAAGTGTTTCACTTCAGGGGTCCACTTCTCAGGGATGTTCTCTGAATAAGGAGACAAATATAGCAGCATTCAAAGCAGAGACACACGGCTGTTGATTATTTTCCTAATGGATTACCGTACTGTTGCTCTGTAACCCAGCAGGAAAACACTAATGATCACAGACTCATTTAACATGTTTTGCTGTGCAAACAATGCAAAAATAAATAAAATGCTGACATTTGGCAGCAAGCAGAAATTAAACAATTATTTGTCTTAACTTAAAATCAGTGCTAGTGACTTTTCTTTTAACTTGTAAAAGTTGCAGCTCTGGGCTGTATGCGAGATAAGGTGGTGTGGACTTGAATCAAGAAGAGCAGATACTTTAGATGGAGAAACTTGAGAACAAGGTGTGCTGTAATGGTACAGATCACATGATAAATGTGCGTCCACTGTGATGTACAGAGGAGAGCAAACTGAGACTCATGGTGGGAGACAGTCATAACATGACTCCGTGTCCAACAGCTGTTTTCTATGTTTCTGATTCTTAATATTAGATTATTCAAGCTATGACCAAATCTCAAGAATTTCCATCGGGTCTGTTTACAGTGAACTCTTTTTTCTCATTACCAATGGTACTGCAAGTGCTCAAGCCATTATTTACAATAAATATACACATATATTTAAAAAAAAAAAAAGTGGCTCCATAGTGTTATGGTTTACACATTCATCAGGAAGGGCATCCGGTGAATCTGCCAAATCAAACATGGGGGGCAACCTACTGTGGTGACACCATGTGAATGAGGGAGCAGCTAAAAGCCAGTATCCTCTAGTACACTTCGTCTTATTCCTGGCAAGATTGCTGTGACATTATTGTCAATACTCCTTCTTACCCAGGTACTGGTTCAAAACGCAGGCGCTACTGTTAAATATATATAGTAATAATATAGCGCGTAACTCCTGCCTCTTCTGTATTACCATCCTATTTTTTCTAATACATTTTTTAAATGGAAACCCTTGTATTTAAACATTTAGGTTTAACAGAGAAGCTGATCAGGTAAAACAAACAAATGGAAAGTAAAAAACATTTTACTCTGAATTTTCAGGCCAATATTTGAATCCTGAATTTGTCTTTTATGTGCTACACAAGGCAAAGACCTTAAATAGAGTAGGGGTAACTAGGTGGTGGAAGTAACTAGAAGGTAGGGCTGCTCAATTATGGCAAAAATGATAATCACGATTATTTTCACTGAAATTGAGATCACGATTATTTGACGATATTTATTTAACCCTTTAAGACCTACTATAGAACCAAGTCCACCAGAGCTTATATTATTTTTTTACATGCTGTAGTGCCATTTGTGGGAGCATTTCAAGTTGCTATACATCAATACAACTGTTATAGCCCATATTTTAATAATATGTATGCATTAAGTGCATAGTAATTACATAAATTGCAAAAAAGTGCAATAAACTACAAAAAAAAATTGAAAATCGCTTTTGTTTTGTTTACATATATTTCTACTTGGAGAAGTTTAAGAGGTTTATCCCTCAAAACTTTAAATACAATAAAGTTGCAAAAATAGTTTCCCACCACAGGAAATTTATTTTGGGTGTCTTCATAGTTTTATTTTAGAGATACAGCAATTTTTATATACTGCAGGAAAAACAAAAAACAATCCTATGATGCAAATTTGCAAAGAAAACAGCATGTGCATCATTTCACTGTGGGAAGTGTTAGGAACAGCTGATAGGAACGGCAAAGAGTGTTTCTGGAATATTATGTTTTTGTTCCTGCAAGCGCTTTTTATGCAATTTTTGCAAAGCTATATGTGGAACGAAACCGTGACCGAGGACAAGCTGATGGCATCAGATGTAAGTACAACTCCTCCGGTTTCATATGCAAAACAAATTATTGCGCTAGCTTACACAGTTCAGGTTCTACAGGGATTTAAAAATAGTTACGCAAAACGGAGCGTGCTGCTCTGACCGGCTTTAAAGGGTTAACAATGACTTTAAAAAATAATATAAAATAGTGTGCAACACCACTGAAGTTTTTTTTTTTTTTTAACTCTTTTCAACCAACGGCAGTCACTCTCCTCTCCAAATAACTTCTGCTTAGCTTTCCGAGCTTCCCTCGGGTCCTCTTAATCAGCGGTCTCCAACCTTTTTTGCGCCACGGACCGGTTTATGCCCGACAATATTTTCACGGACCGGCCTTTAAGGTGTCGCGGATAAATGAGGGAAGGGCTAATAATCGGCTCAGTCATTTTTAATGATCGTTGAAAGCCCAGATCGTAATCGTGATTAAAATTCGATTAATTGAGCAGCCCTACTAGAAGGTGTTCAAAAAATCACCTTTAACCACCTATGAAAACACAAAGAACTGGCCCACATAAGAGTTTCAGATTTCAAAACAATCTCCAGAGGTTTTAACTCAAGGAGAGCCTTCTCTGCACCCATTCACTCAGTAAAGCAGTGGGCAGCTATCAATCCAGCACCCAGGCAGCAGTGTGCAGGTATGGTACCTTACTCAGGTAGCCGTTCGGTGGATTTCAACCCCCGACTTTCTGATCATGGGGCGAACACTCTTAACTACTGAGCTATCCCCTCCCTTTTTTAATAGTCTTTTTTCCCCCTCCCACAAAGCCTTTGGTGGTTTAGTCATAATAATTTAAAATTAAAAATGAGCTGCAACATTGCTGAGTCTCCTCTGTTTTTACTTACCAAGACTGTCAGGGCTGTCAATGGAGAAACACATGAGAATGACATCAGTGTCTGGATAGGAGAGCGGGCGCAGTCTGTCATAGTCCTCTTGACCTGCTGTATCCCAGAGTGCTAACTCGACCTGCCAAAAGTGTTTAGAAGCTGAAATATCTTCAAGCAGTGCACAGTCGGTAGCAGGTGGGCAGGTCAGACAATTAATTTTGCCAATAAGCAGAACTCAATCTGCTCAATAATTCAAACTCATGCAGGTTAGACTAGATCTAACATGTAGGTCTCCTGTGAAAATTAACTGCCCACCCTGGTCTATAGGTTTAGCATTACATGAGTGCAGCCACTAGAGTCCTCCAGTTACAAAACACCGATTCTGGGAAGAAATAAATACTGCTTACCTGTTTGCTGTCGACTTCAATGTCAGCAACATAGTTCTCAAACACTGTGGGCACGTAGACTTCTGGAAACTGGTCCTTACTGAACACGATGAGCAAACAGGTCTTCCCACAGGCTCCATCTCCCACTATGACCAGCTTTTTCCTGATTGCTGCCATAGCTTCAGGAAAAAATATAGAAGATTGATTAAAACACGTGAACGTCATCTATATCAGAGTGGGTAATTTTATTTTATTACACTGAAGCATTGTCCAACTTTCTAACACTATGCCTGTGATAAACGATGAACTGCCAGCAACCTTCAGCTGTGCTGGCAAAGTCCAAACAAAATAACACCGGGGCTAACTGTGCAGCTTTCTGCGACAATATCACCACCATCACGGCTTTTCATGGTCCCCTGATCAGCCATACTGTACATACTGTCAAGGGCCCATCGCGACATAGTTGGCTTACAAATTAAGAGTCATACAGTGAAGCCCTCTACTGTGATGTTACGTTTCCGCTCCGGTGTTTCTGACCCTCCCCGGCATCAAGCTCGAACAAAAAAATACACATTTATTCCATCCATTTATTCCCGTCAAACATTTATTCCATCACTACAACACTGGCCGTATTAACATGCAAATGTATGTCAGCGAAATATAACTAGGACCCCCGCGGTGGTGTTTGACCCAGATTTAGTCTAGGAGGATGTTGTGTTTACTGAAGCTAGCTAATCATCGAGCGTTAGCTTAGCCGGATGTGTGTGTCCTGTAAGCTCAATTTGAATGTTTACAATATAACTCGGGGGTGCTACAGTAAATGCGTACAACACGTGTGATATAATGTACTCAGGTCGTGTTTGTTGTTTATTTCAAGCTGCTGAGCCGGAATCATTGCTTCTCCTTTCAGTAACAAACCGGTACCGGTTTAGCCTGCTAGGCTAGATAGCTAAACTTAGCTTAGCATAACGGAAGTCTATATGACTTTATCGGTCCGTTAGCTCACTAGCTAGGCTAGGCGAAATATTGAAGACACAGATTTATAGTCAGAACAATAGTATAATTACCCACAATAAGTGTTAGAAAATATAACAGCTACAGGATTCTTGAAAATATTTCCAACTCACCAAGTTATTAGTTAAAAATCTACTCAAATGAAGCCCAAGTAGTGCTTTGTTAGCTTCCGCCGCTGCTTCTTTACTGTGCGCCGCTATGAAGGATTAACAGGAGGGAAGTGAGGGGGTGGGGACCGCACAACAATGTACTACAGTACAACACTACTCTTCTCAATAATAATAATAATAACAACAACAACAACAACAACAACAATAATAATATCACTGTTTTAATCAATACTTGTATACAGCAACATAAAAATAACATATATATTAGCTTTTTTATATATTAGATTAAACACATATGTTATATATAAGGAGGGACAGAGTACCATATAATTATTGGGTTTTTTTTTCGTATTTTACTTTCTGTTATTGAAATTTGCGTTTCCTGTATTAAACTTGAATAGAGAGCATCATTCTAAAAATTTCAAGCAGGAACTGACACTCACACCTGCAATTATATCTACAAACTGCAACATCAACATTGTTAATAACATTTTATTACAAAGATCTGCCTGAGTTGTCATTATCATCATCATGATCATCGACTCTTTACAATTTTCTTCCAGGTGATACAATTTCTAATATAACTTTGGTCCAATATTTGAAGTTAGGGGAGGATGTGTCTTTTCATGCACTAAGAATTCTTCTTGCAACTGTGATTGCCCTTACTTTTATCACCGCTAAATTGTATTTCGATGCTGTGGGTGGGACTGATCAGCCTACCAATACACATAATTTTGGTAATAAAGGTATTATCAAATCTATCCATATCTGAGCTTCTGAGCTCTATACCTGCTTATATTTCCAAGTAGCATGTGCTAATGTTTGCATGTCTAGATTGCATGTCCAACATAGGTCGTTGATGTTACACTCATACTATGAAGTTTAGAGGGAGTGAAATAAAAACTGTGTATTAGTTTATATTGCATGGATTTTCCCCTCTACCTCTTTTGTGTATTTATGGATGAGCAATATCAGAAAGGAGTACATCAGTGGGTCAGCTGAGATTGAACATTTTGGAAAAAAGTTAGAGGTAAAGCTGAGATACTCTGGACAGGTGCAAAGGGGGGATAGTAAATATATCGGACTCCATAACATAATGAATATGGAAATGCAAGATAGGAAGAACAGAGAGAATGATCACACACACACACTGTAAAAATTAAAGGACAGACAAGAGAAACACCCTTCAACCTGGTTCTGAGTGTTGATGTTTCATAGTTTGTCCACCAGAGGCAACTTCCTTTTGGAAACACCTGTTTTGAAGTCTGCAAACAACGACAACAAAGTGATCCGAGCAGTGGGGCAAAGAGTAAAGGTGGGATTACACTTTCCATGTCCATGAGCCACTAGGGTCAGCGTGACGTAAATTTCCTCATCAGACTGTGAATACGAGAGTCAGTGTGGTTGTCTGTGTACCTGCCTGTTTTTTGTTTATATTACAGCGCATCAACTATGCATGCACCCAAGGTCATGGACTTTAAGTGGACTTCAGAGAAGTATAATAAATAATGGCTAGTTGGCTGTCGGGTTTCCAGCTGTCTGTGTTCATGTCTGCAATGGAGAGTAATCAAGGCCTAAATGAGTAAATAATAACTACATGTAAGTGTTGTGGAAATCTGTTTGTCTGAAATGAAAACAATCCCAGCTGATATTTCCGAATATCGTAATTTTAAAATGATCAAATATCGGTATCCTTGTCAGTCTTAATTTTTTTTACCTTTGTTGGATTTAGAGTAAAAATCAATTGCTGGCTCTCAGTTTTGTTTCTAGAGTATTACCTGGATTTAGTCTGCTAACTGATTTTTGATAGGTAACGCTGCAACATTTTTAAATAATCCTAAACTATTTTAGGCGTACGCACCATGAAAGTCAATGCATCGACTAAATGTCCTTTTCAATAGGCCACAGGCACGCCTGACAGCGTGAAACTGAAGCAGGAAAAAGGGTGACGTACCAAAATGTTTTCTGTGATCACTTCTAATAAATCTGCTTCACAGCTTTGAGATCCATAGATAAAGTTCAGCCCATCAGTGCTTTCATGTCAGTGGATGAAGTCTCATTTTTCCATGACAGCACTGTGTTCATGCTGTTATACACTTTTGTAAAGACTACAAAAAACATGAGCATCTTATAAAGTGTGATTTAAGAGATTATAGAGTACAGTATAGTAGAAGTCTGATCTTTATTCAATGACAGTAATGTTACTGCATATAGAAATTCCAGAAAAATTACTGTAAAATCAAATTATAGCAACTTTATTGTAAATGCAATTACATCATTTACAGAAGGGTTTTTTTACTGTAAAAAGTTTTTACTGTCACTTTTTACAGTAACTTTACTGACATCCAGCTGCCAGTAAGAATTTGCTGTAGACTGACTTATCTGTATCATGAGTATTAATGGTCTGATCCTTTAAGTTCATTTACTTTAGTCACTACTTAAATAGAATTTTAAATAGTAATGAAGTATTTCTACACTGAGCTGCTGCAACATTTACTTCAACCTGAGCTCTCCTCCTGTATCAGCATATAGCTCTTAAATGGCACAAGGCTTCATTTAATATTGCAGTAAATCCCAATGAAGGAGCCTCATTCTGATAAAGATCAATGTGATCTCGATAGAGATTTTATTCTGCTTATCCCGATCATTTAACTGTGGCCTGAGAAATGATTTAAGCCTTTCGGCGGCAGGTTGGAGCTGAAAGGCACACAAACAGAGCGTGAGCTGGCAGTGCAGCAGTGTATTAATAACCGCAGCACTTACTCTAATCCTGATAAGAGGCTTTTTCTGCGCTGCTCAGTTCCAACTCGTGGAAACGAGCTCAGATGCGCTTCCATGAAAACAGTAATACCTCACATTTATCTGTGTGCTCAAGTGACCAGTAATTCAGAAGAGGGGAGGGAGGGAAAGACACACACACACACACACACACACAACAGCTGGAAAAACAAACATTTCCGAGATTTAATTCTCAGAAATGGTATTTATAATCCTCTTCTACAAGCTACAAACAGGCCCTCTTTGTTGGCTTTTGCATTCGTTGAAGAGCATTTGATTTGTTTATGTTTCCTTTCTGGAAATGAAAGATATCAGATTTCTGTCAGGATTGTGAATACTAAAGAAGTCCACATCACATTATATGCAAACACTGAATTGACAGCAGAACTCTGGGTACAGACTCTGCATGGTTCCTTTATTTGTCTCACATGTTGTTTTGTCTTGTTTTGCAGTTTACACATCTGTTTGTGTGTATTTTGGAGTTTTAATCTCTTCCACTGGGCTCCAGCACGGAGAAAAACTGTTTTTAAGTTACGAAACCCCAAATTATTACTGTCATCTCTGCTAGAGCAACAAAGCACAGAGTAGATGTTTTCTTCACTGATTTATTATTTATAAGCGGAGGCTGCTTTATTGAAGAACACTCAAAACAGCTGGTTTAGGAGCTGCTTTCTTCTCACTGGGCCACATTATCAAAAAAAGAAGGAAAGAAAACAACTCACATATTGGCATTGCACATTTCACAGTAGCTGGGGTCGGCATGTAAAAATAATTGAATATTTATTGAAGAATACCAGCAGCAGTGCAGTAAGAATAAGCTCATTCATGAGCAGTGAGGTCAAGAGTGGTTTATTATACATAAATATATCAAAGAGTCCCCGATTCACAGTATCCGCTCAACGACGCGACCATATTCCAGTCTGACTGTCCTGTCGCTGAGGGGCAGGTATTATATAGAGAAAGGATAGTCCTGCAAGTAGAAGAGCAGAGGCTTTGGGAGGGGCAGCTGGTTGGGGCAGTTAGTGTGCCTGTTGATGGTGAGGCGTGTCAGGTGCTGCAAAGAAGGGAAAACCTCCAGTTTGTGAAGCGGGTGCTTCAGCTTCAGGGGTACTCCTCTGTCTTTAGCTGCGTGCTGGGAAGGGTCAGGTTCCATTTGGGGGTGAATGTCACTAGATGTCTGGTCCTGTGCTGCGTGGCCTGAGCTGGTGTAGTGCTGTATAAGGCTGAGAACATCTGGGAAGGACTGCAGCTGAGGCAGGCCAGGGGAGACAGAGTCCAGCCAGAAACAGCCCTTGCTGTACTCTATACGCACGCTGGTAGGTCCACAGCGAGTCTTCACTGACAGAGCCAGCATGTACTGTGGATGGCTGCTGTCCCGCACCAGGAATGTGCCTTCAGACTTTGTGAGGAGAGCTTCCCGAGCTTTACTTGCTGAGATGGGACCCCAGTACCAACCTGGGGAAAAAGACAGTTCAGTTATTAGTGTTTTTGTTTTTTGTTTTTTAATAGCCACATGGACACTGACACTAGAAGTGTTTAAATGTGGCTGGCGTACCAGAAGTCTGCAGATACTGGAAGGTGGTGGTGATGCAGCGGAGGTCATCTGCTGGGTCCCAGGATGAAGGGGCAGGATCCGAGCAGGATGACTTTCTTTGTTCCTCATGATGGAAAATGGTCACCGCCTGTACAACCATTGCTGACTGACAGCACACCTGTGGAGACGACGATGACCATGTAGGAAAGTTAACTAAGAGATCATCTGAACTATATTCCCTTAATTAATGCGAATTGAGTTGCTTATGTCAAATATGTCTGTCCCAAATCTCCCCGTAGTGTTAGCTGGTTGGAGATCTGTCGACACTCCACCACCCTACTGATGGAAGCATTATAATCATGAAAGTGACCATTCCCATCAGGACAACGGGAAAAGTGATCAGTCAGAAAACCTTTGTGCTTATTTACAGTGAAGCCTGCCGCTAAGGTTACAAACAGGGTCCCCTCACCACAGGGTTAAAGAGCACCTTTAAAAAGACACCCATCTATATTTACACACACACACGCACAACTCAAGTAAATGTGCCAATTCAGTTACGCTGAATCCAGCTTTATTTATACTGCGCCAGTTCATAATAACTCGTCTCTTCACCTTATTTTGTACCTTACTTTGAATCATGCATACTGCAATAAAATACCCATAATTACCCAAATCATATTAGAAATGTTCTTACCTCAAATCAGGAAAAACCATAAGGATTGAAACCAGTGTAAAAACAGCCCTGCAGTGAATATTTATAATATTATTTATAAAATAATAATAAACGGTCCTCCAAAGTTTTC